TTATCTTCATATTTTAGGCAATAGCGTTTCATGAAAACTGAACAGTCTATCTCTCCCGCAGCTCCACATAAAATTATAAACACAAATGCATAGCTGACTAAATGGGCCTTTCTACGTATCACTCTACAAGTGCCACACGTTTATCCAGTGGAACGCATAACCCTGGTTGAAAAACTTGGATGATTTCACACTACAGAAGGATTCACTGGTTTGGTGTCAGACGGAAGATGAAATGCGCTGCCATGTTTGCGAAAATTCACAATATTTGCGAGAAATTAGAGTGACCAATTCAAGATTAATTTACGTGAACCCGTATTCGATTAATTTTTTCCCTACAAATTTTTCCATTTTGTTGGAAAATGAAGTACAATTGAAAAACGAATTAGAGGGCGTGTTCCTTTGCCTGGTTCGGAAATTCGAGTGCAGTAGAGTATAAGCGTGACCATATCTGAGTTTGCCCAGAACAATAATTTTCTTGCCCATCTGAAGGTGATGGAATGAAAGCTACTGCACAGGCAACGAATAAATCAATGTCGCTGAAGTCATTATGCAGTTAACTCTGCGTCTTCCCACAATATCACGCGAGGCATTTCTGAGTGAAAAATCCCAGGAAGACCCGATTGGCGGAATGTGACGAAACCCATGTGAGACAAGCACAAAACGCTTCGAACCGACGCAAGAAATGAGTTAATAAGTGCGGACCAAATCGATTCACGGATTGCACGCGAGCGTCGAACAGAACATGCATGAGACCGCAGGCGGAAAGCCGCGAAAAACTTGGATCACGTCAGTCGCTAATCCCAAGAATTTCCCGGTTTCCCCGAAATCCCAGCTCGGGGTTTTTAACGCAACGGATTATTAGTCCGGGTCGATCATAATTTTCCGGCGGAAAAGTTCCCGCCAGGCCGCGCGAAAAGCCGATTCCCACGGAACGGTAACTTCTTGATGAAAATTTCCACCGGGCTGCCAAGTTCAATCCCGCTCATACCGAGCTCAGCCGCTATTCCGAGATAAGATGACAGGCAATTTCAGTACTCGGCCCCACGACTTAGTCCTCCTCGTCACATTCAATCTCAAGTTGCGTCCACGAGATTAAGAAAGCCGATCTCCAACTTCGAAAAGTATCTCAAAATCCACCGGCACGTCTTGACGAAGCCCCTCACGAGACAACATGAAAACCTCTTCGGATCCACGAGTCAAAAGCCAGGGAAACTCATCCTTGAAGGTCGAGTGTCTTGAAGCGGTAGAAAATTTCGCCAAAATGATGAATCATTCATCGTCGCAAGCATAATTTTCTTCATAGTCCCATAGTCCTTCCTCCATCGTGTTTAAGTCAATCTGGGCCATCACTAACGCATGAAACATTATTACAAGCTTTTCTCCGAATCACTCATGCACTGGGGATTCAGGTGTTACTAGATCCGTAACAACAAGAATATGTTTTTGGGAATTGTGGGTCGTGCGCACATAATTAAGAAATTTATAGAAAATAAATTAGGGAGAATGGGGAAGAGGGGAAGGGTGAATCCTCGTATTGTACTAGCTGTATCATCCGGAGAGCCATAAGAAAGCTGCGCCTGGGGGAGGAAAGATAAAATTCTTGCCTTTTCTTGACTAAGACGTATTTAACTTCTGGGACATGATAGGACGTTTTTGACATCCTGAGAATTCCAATTACAGTATTGTTTGTCGAAATGAGTGCTACGAGGAAGAAAAAATAGGACACCCTCCAGTCATTCATTTTCTGTTTATGTCTGTTACATTAGTAGCAAATGGGTCTTACTTTAATTTGCCTCGAGAAGGCCAAACGTTGACCCTTTCCTTTCTCAAGCACCGAACGCTTGGGAATGTCGGAAACACCGACATTCCCGACGTCTTCATGTTTTCCTGGAAGCATTTTTCAATTGCATAATGGAATAACGACTCTACAAGAATATATTCGTCTGCAAAAAATTGACTGTCGCTCACCCATTGATTCCCATTAGCGGAAATATTCACGTAATGTATAATATGGTAATTGTTGTTCGGCCGTCGTGCAATGAACGAGAAAAGCGAACGCTTCACGTATGTGTGTGTGTGTGTGTGTATGTGTGTGGGAGTTTGGGGCGGAACTTAATAAGCAATGATGGATCAAAAACTATTTATTTTTCACCGGCGACTGGAAAGCCATGTTGTGTTTTCACGAGCTTTTGTTACCCCCGGGGAATAGATCGCAGTCCCCGCGGCTAATTCGTTCGCCAGAAGCGTCCAACGCGGCGCCTGTGGCAGGTGTTGTTGGATTTCCTCCTCACTGGGCGACAATGCAGAGGCGAGTGTTCGATTAAATGCTTCTTCCCGTCAGCTTTTAAAACATTCTCCCCTGCGTGTGCAAGCGCAATTCGTGTTTTTCCAAGGCTGACTCCCTTGTAAGCGTGTAAGGGGAGGAGGGAACTTCTTGATGTACGTTTGACGCCTTAATGATTGCGTGTCCGTCGATGCACGCCTTATTTCCATGAGCACTCCCTGGCTCGCGTTTTCTGCCCGTTTCCAAGAGATGCTGTGAGTCACGCTGGTCAGCTGTGCCGATTATCAGCATAGTCATCAACTAATCTTCCTGGAAACCCGACGCCATTCTCCCACCAATTTTTCGTCATGACGCCCATCGATTTTTGCTCGTGTTTCGATACTATAGTTCAGCGAACATCCAGCTCAGATTGAAATTTCGTACACACATCCCTTCATTATTCTGCAGATTTATGGAAAGAGATGCAGCGGACGTAAATACGGTACTCGGAGAGAAACAGGAAAATTGTGTTGCATGATTACGGAATTAGCATTTTTTGAACTAGTACAGCATTTCGAAGTCAAGAAGAAGACTGCATCGCTGACTTTGAAAAATCGAAACTGAAACTGGATTTTTCGCTTTTTTAAATTCAATTTATATATTAATTATGATACAGTATAGTATTTGTAAGACGCACTGCACTCTCTTTCCGAAAGGTTGACTAAAAATCGGGCGCGGCTTATATTCGATGGCCTCTGAGTACAGTGTTCTTCAGATTCGTAGGTGAATGCATAATTCTTGACCAACGCGACTTTTTGAATGAGAGGGGTATACATCTGTTCGACCCGTGACAGTATACGATGAAGTATAAACCCCTTGCTGCAGTACCATTCCCAGGTAACACGCATCCGGATTTATGTTGGTAGTGTTCAAGTTCATTAAGATGGTGGCGAAATCACGAACGAAACAAATGGACTTCTGTGATCCTAATTGTTTAATGAAAGTTCATTTTACGCCTGAATTTCCACACGTTTTGTTTTTCAGTAAATTAAAATATATGTACTTCGGAATGGATGGCGTCTTTATATTCCAGAAAATATTGAGCGTCCAAAGTTCACTGACTTCAGGACTCTGGTGATTGATGAACTCTCTCGTTGAATGATTGGCAGTGCAGTACAGTACTTTACGGGAAGGCGAGATTGTCAGTTTTATAACTTCTTGGATACAGGAGAAAATATTCGGAGAAATTTAACTTGAACAAAGAAACCATCGTAAGCTTTGATACGATTCTTGCCGCTGATGCTCTGATACGGAGATTGAAACATTCTGGTGACAAACTCGGCTAGAGCGTTGATTTTCGAAGCCTCCCTAGAGCTATCGTTTGTGAATATCTTAATCCGTTGTTCGGGCCCTGTGCGACTACTTCGAGGTTTCGCTGGGAGAATTAATCAATTTTAATGAGGAGACTCACATTGTTCATTGCCTTTTTCCCCCCGCCAGCGAACAATGTGAGGTGAAAATGCAGACGTGTTCATATTTTATGCATGACATTCGAAAGAGAGGGAAGAAAATTTCTCGAATTGCTTTTATGCCAGCGCGGAGCGAATCGAACGAGGAGAAGCGCGATGCTGACGCATCCGTCTTGTGCGACGTCAGTTCCCCTGCCGCGAGGAGGAAACGTGTCGTATTGTCGGGGATGACTTAATTTGTGTCGAGCCGGAAATACGATCCTGTGGGATGCAAATCTCGGCGGATATTGAAAACAGCGACCTGGTTTCTGCTCACTGCGAAAGTTCGTATCGGAGAATGATCCGACGGAGCCTCGGTTTAGAATCCTGGGTTGCCGTGCCCCGCGATGTTATGCTTTTGTTCGCAGGTTTCTCTTCTTTGAAGAATATATATCCTTGCAGCGAAATATTTCGATTTTTCACGTTTTCTATACCCTACTGTCAGAGTTTCACGAAAAAAAGAAATTAGATCTCGCGCTAAGCGAGATCCTGCTCAATTCGGCTTGTGATGACAATTTTAGCATGAAATGTTGAACAAGGTATGACTCCATGTAAAGGTCATGTGCGATTGTACTTCTAAATTTTTATCCTTGCACAATTGTTTTGCGTTTACTACGGAAACTATTATCATATTTCGAATCCCCAATCAACCTTCAAACCTCATTTAAAGCTCATTTAATGGTCGTTGGAATGTCCAATTTCGTGGATCTATTTCTGTTGGTATGTCTTTAGCGCACGATAAAAAAATGATAATTTGTGACAGGAATTTATCTTGTGCTGTACTTTCTCGCCAGTCTCAAAAGAGCTGTTGTGAGGATTGTCCTAGTTGCGCGTGCCTTGAAATGTTCCGCCTAGAACCAACCCGACAGCCATTTTTTTTTTGCTGAAATATTATCGAGAATTATTCAATTACTTTTAGAATATTTTTTTAAGAATCACAAATATTCTGAAAGTTTTCTGCTTTTATTGATTCACCTCGCACTCACTAATTATTAAGCTAATCGATTGATCATAAGTAATAAACTATGTAAATTAAGTTATTGTTGATAAGCGGTGTAAAATCTCGATTTTTTTTAATATGGATACCACGCAGAATGCAGTAATTTCTCAAATTGTTTCTCGCTAAATTTTTTTTCGGTGAGGAGAATGACTTTTCAATGAATTTGTTTCTTTAAAAAATGATACGCAGGCACCGCTTGAAAAATAGAATCTTTTGTTGGACTGAAATTATGATGTTGCGGCTGGTAATGAATGAAATAACTTTGAATGAAGCGCCGGTCATCGATCGGTTGATCGAAGAGATTATCGGCCTCCCGTCGCAGCGACATGGGAATCACCGACGCGAAAGAAAACGTTTTCTCCCCCTTTTTGCCTGTAGTTTCGATCGGGCGTGTCAGCGTCGACGGTGCGTGCTCATCTGCCCGGGACCTCCTTTGGAACTGGTTCAACTGAGCGCGCATCAGTTCGTGTCAAGTGTTAGCAGCTGCTGTCAGAAGATCCTTGGCACTTGCGACTCGTTCGCGAAGACAAGCGTCGGGGTGTTCCGAAACCTCTTGCAACATCCTCGCCTTCTTTTTATTTATTTATTTTTTGGCTTTTACTTGCATGATCTCCATATTCCGACTCTCCGAGGTTCTTCTCAATAGTGAGTGGAAAATGACTGCGGTAAATAACTTTCCTCTGAAAAATCCTTTGCTGTCACCGTTTGCATTCATGTCACGATGCAACTGAAACGAATGAATTGCTCAGCCTCTTTTTAACCTACAACGTCGGAAACAGTTCATATTAAACCCGCCCCTGCGACATTTGTACCGGAAGTTACGCGCAGCATGAGGATAAATTACCTGGAAATGTTCATGTTCTATCCTTGACTTTTCCTCCGAGGCCCCGAAACATCAGTGATTCTAATCTTGATTCCGTGGTTGTCGAGGATAACGGAGCCGAAAAAACTGCCGTAACTGTTTATTTTGCTTGTGACGCATGCACCGCAATTCCGCAATACAGTATATGCCCTCGTTTTCCCAAAAAATTGTGCCCAATAACTTGAGCGCGATCTACACAAGAGACATTCGAAAATTGACCAAACTGCAGTTTCTCGTCTGCGCGACATTCACCAGATTATTTTTTGTTCTCAGAAGAAAAAAAAAACATCAATTCAATAAATTTTTCCAATTTTGCATTCATTTCTCTCAACCCCTTGTTCTCATCAGGCCTTAACCTGACAACTTCAGTCATTCGTTACGTTCTGGTATTAGTTCTCATTCATGAGAAGAAGCAGGGTTTTGCCGTGTATATAGAAGCCGCATGGTTCCAACGAAACTCTCAAATGTTGTGCTTTATGCAATCCCTCTCCCCTTTTTAAATCATTGACAAAAAGGAATCGTTCTGCGTGTACAGTAATTGCGTAAATAAATTAATGTGAGCGTCGCTGTGTTTCCGAGTGGTAATAAGCAAAGGGGTGCGAAGCCCGTCCTCCGTGGCTTCCAGCGCAACTTCTGAGGTTTTTTTGCGGAACCCCTCGCGTGAGCTGAGTTCAGCAAAAGGGGAATGTGTTGCATATGCATGTGACGTGCATATCGGTTTCAGGAGCCGACTCGACGGCAGGAAACAAAGGATGAGACCCCGCGTAGGGTTAGAAGCTGGAGGGCTTGCCACAAAGGTGCTTCCGAGCTCAGCGAGGAAGCCGGGAAATCTTGTTGCCTCCGGAGCCCTATGCAAAAAGCGATGGGTCTTTCTTTTCTGCAATGAACACGACGAAAATGCTTCCATGCATGTTTAATCCTGGTGCCCGTGCCCGCTGTCCGAGTCTCTGGTGTGGCCCGGACAGGTTCGCACGTTCCCCGGCCCCTCTTCACGGGAATCGCAGGAGCGGCTCTGAAAGCCAGACCATTATTCCCCTGATTAACCCATTATCCCGGTCGGTGGAGACGTGCTCACTGTCGCCCGTGAGACGGACCTTAACGAAATGATCTCGAGAGCTTGTAGGATCCCATCGGTGCTCCGCTCCCGTGCGACCCTTTCATCCATAATAATTTCACCCCTCTTCAGAATTGGAGCATGACTTTCTACCCGGGATATTTCCATAGATTGAATCTCCTCACGATTGTTATATTCTTAAGGCACTTGTGATTAGATTCCTCTCTTCTCCGAATTACGCTCAAATTAAAAACGTTCGTTAGAATCAAACGTGAACGGAGGATACGTGAGTTCAGGCCACGCTGTCTTTCCCGGAGATATATGCTCCTGCAATTCGATTGTATTCCGCACCGAAGTCTCGTATGGAAGAGTTTTGCTACGGATTATTTGGTATCTAAAAATTTCGTCGCATTAAAAAATTCAGCTGGTTTTATCACTTCAGAAGTGTATCTTCTTCCATCTTTTCCGATTGTTTTAATGTTATCCTGTACAGTTACCCCATCAGATCACTACTCATTTATAGAATTTGGCCTGTAGTCACGGGTTGCCTATATAGTCACAGAAATACAATATATGACTGGTCTGAGGAAAGTCAGACTATGCTTGAATTTCCGCACTGAATTGTTTCGCAGAATGATCTTCTTCGTGAACGCTTGCCGCACGAAATAGGAGAGGCGTTCATCTTTCTTAAATTACGTGGATTGCGATGAAAAATGAAGCGATTCATTCGTGGCTTTTATGGGAAGCAAGCGGAGATTTCGCTCTGGCGGCGAGTATCCGCGGCAGGTGCGACACGGGCAGAAAGAATGGGATGATTACTGGGTTCGCGGATGTGCGAAGGAGTTGCCTTGATAAATCGCGCGAGAGAAAATATGGGAGCAGGAGGATATGAGTGCCATCAAAAGAAATCGGTTTGATTGAGCAAAGGCCCCCTTTGTCCGCGAATTAAGCGAGGGACGGGATTTATGTCGGTCATTGTTCAAGTCGACGTGGCTGCGAGGGTCCCGTAACTTTCCTGTGACCCGCCGGCTTCTTCGCTCTCCACCGCGGTCCGAGAGGTACTTGTTCGGAACCCCGAGTGATCGAGCGGAGTCGGGGGGGAAAATGGGCTCGACCTGGATCCGCTGCTTCGATTTCCTGCGACACGAGATTGAATGTCCTCTTCTCTTTCCTTCCGCAGGTAACGCTGCCGCAGGATACGGACACGCTTTACTGGTGCAAAATTTTTCCGATGCCGGATATGGGACCAAAGAAACACCACGTCACGAGGGTGAGTTTTCCGTTTTATTCCATGACGATTTCACCACTGTTCAAGCATAACGTTACGTTGCGTTCGAACCGATGAACCCGACGTATTCGTATTGGTCCAGGTTCTTTGTGCTCTGGAAAACCCCGAGAATGACGCCGACGAGATATTTTTACAAAATCCTTTTTCGGGCATGTTTCCATTGAAAAAGAGACAGGTCTTGTATTTTTCTCAGCAATCAACAACAAAATATGCATCATGGCTCATGTTAAGGTAAATATGCACAATGTAAATATTGCCCGAATCTTGAAATGCTCAAGACCAGAATTATTCTTGGTTCGCACTTATTGCCGAACTGATACAAACTGACCCCAATATTCCCCGAGTCTACTGGGAATTGCAATGCAAATGTTTCTCCGTGCGAAATAACCTAGTGGCAAAGCCTGATTTTGGGTGCAGAACTCGAATTTAACAACCTGAGATTGGTTTATGGCAGATTTTGAGAATCCCATCATATTTTTCGGAAAAATACGGTAGCTTTTATTTAATAATATGCAGATGCATTTGAAGTTGTTTTCTTGGAGGGGGGGGGGGGGGGGTTAAAATCGTGCCGAGGGAATATCTGTCATGAATCCTTTTTCTAACGTGGACATGTAAAACATAGCCTCTTGTGGTAGTGATAACGAGGGGTTAATATTATTTGTCTGAATGTATACGCCTGTTATCAGCTTCAGTAGAACTCCTCGTTGATGTGGGTGGAATTGAAGCGATGAAAGTGAAGTTCTAGACGACCTTTGCCCTGTCTGCTCGGCAGTCTTTGACCCAGCCCCTGGGTCGTCGCTCAGCGTTTCACGTCTTCATATTGCTCCGCTGGGAAACGCTGATTGATTCCTCGACGGAGGGATGGAAATAGCAGTTGTGTGGGAAGAGAGTCGAGGTATTTCAGCGATTCCGAACAATATTTTTCTTTCCGCCCGAACTGCGTGGGGTTATTTTGACAAGGGATACGTGGTGAGCTCTGCGTTTTCGGTCAAGCGAGAAGCGGAGGCTTTAAAAGTCTTGCTCAATGCCTACTCAAAACTGCACCTCAGCGTTGCCACGTATTCCTTCGCAGCATACATTGAATTGCACCCCGGCAAGTTGCTCTGCACGCTATCACGGATCTCACCGGCTTTTGTCGCTGGTCAGTGTGAGTCGTGAAGATATTGGCAACGCTACAGAGCAGGCATAGGAGTTGAAAAATTCCCCGACTGATTCCGTAACCGCGGGTGACTCGGGGCGCGGCAGAAAATATTTTGATGATCCCGGGCGGGTTCAAGAAGGTCAGGTGGAGGCCTGCAGGGAGTCGGTGAAGCAGCGCCGTAAATATTCCCCTAGAGGCTGGGATTTGTCTTGAATCGCAGGCGTAAGTTTGGTCCATTGAGATTTCCGACGCGGGAAACAAAAACGAGACCGGTCGTGGCGAGAGGCGAAAGAAGCTTCCCGCCGCGCGTTTACATGCGTTATGCGAGGGTCTCATGTAAAGTTATTGCTTTCAACTTTATCTCTTCGACGTGTTGCAGTGAACACCGCACATTCTTCCATGTCTAAGCTGCATAACGCGTTAGAATTTGAAACGAAATGCTGCCCGACTCGTTTCACCCGTCCTCCGCACGCATAATTCCAATTTTCCAAACCATGTCGAACTCCGGAGAGCTCCTCAGTTCCCACATATATTTTAAAACATGATTGTATCTCTGCGTACCTTTCCAACGGCCGAACTCAGCAATACCACGCATTCGGCTCCAGTCTACTGATGGATTTCGGTTTATCTGCTGGAGATGGAAACATCAAGGCGTTCGAATGAACATTACATCCAAAATTTGCCTTAAAACTTTCCGAAGGATTCCTACGTTCGTTGCAGAGCGCGAAGTTCACGCTGTGCACTGACCTGACGAAGCTTTTTTTTATTAACCTAATCCTCTGGGTGCCATGGTTTTCTTTGCCCATCTTGTGAAGCAAAATTAACGTACCGTATTCGGGGCGAGAATTTGCTTTGCGAGCCCAATGAGCACGATGATGCATTACAACTGTCCGAAGGGACGTCATAGGTTTCTATTTTATCTTGAAGCTTCTCTAAACTCGCGGAAGTCAGGGGAATAAGATTTGAAAGTGGAAGAAAAAGGCGGAGTAAATTAAAAAAATAAAGATTGAGAAAATAAAACTTGGACCTTGAGAATTGAGAGGCAATCGACCGATTATCCCCGTCTTTTTTCGGTAATGAGCGAATGAGCACTGTACCATGTTTCCCGAAAATATGACGGAGTCATTGAGTAGACTGTAAATATAGCCGGAACACCCCTCTGGATACTGCATCTGATCATTCTTGCTCCGAAAATTATCCCTGAATAGTAATGCTGAAAAAATGCCGTATTTTCTCCCCTTGGAGCAAGATAGCTGCCTATCTAACTCTACTACCTCCTACTCCTTCCACTTTCTTGACAGTACAGTACACCGTTGCGGGTAATTTTTCCTCAATGGTTCCACGAAACAAATCCCTCCCACCTTCAAAACATTCGCCACGCCTTCAAGTGAAATTCATGAATTTTCAGATTCGTTTCAATTAAACGCCGTATATTTCCTATACAGTATTCACAATAATCCGCAGAATTCTTAGAAACCAGAAATGCATTACTCTGTGTAGGACCTGTCTTTTTTTTTTAGGAGTAACGAATCTAACGATATTCGAACGAGCATACTGTATTATTGATGCTTATGTGAATACAGTAACGATGAAACCACGAACGAAAGTACAGTAAAAGTGAGGCAAGCATTTTACGGTAAGAATGATGGGAGTAGTTTTGTTGTCATGTGAACGGAACTGAAGCGAAGTCTGGGCGCTGGAAGGAGCGGGGGTCTTCTCGAGTGAATGTATCCCTGCCCGGGTTGACCTGGTCGGACTGTTTCATGCCTTTTCTAATGCATCCCATGGGATGGTTTCTCTCTTCCCTCCGGGATGGCCTGCAGTACGAGCCTGCGATCGTGTCTGGACATGAGGAGTACATTCACCACATCATCGTGTACGAGTGCGGTGGGAGCGCGGCTGCGGAACACGGGACTGAGGCGCTGGAGACGCTCTTTGAGGAGGCTGCCAACAGCAGAGGTCATGTTTGCAATCAGCCAAACATGCCTCCGGTCTTCTTTTACTGCAACATCGCCCTGGCCGCCTGGGCTGTTGGATCCGAGGTGCGTACGAAAACAATTTTCTTGCACTGTCATTAACGAGGAGCATTCCTTGTTCTTCCGTCGCATTCCTTCGGGGCTCGGCGTTGAAAGAAATCGCGTTTGCGAGACCGAAGGACGTGCCGAAAAAGCTCCCATTCATGCCAACACAGAATGCCACGGACAGGTGCTTCTAAGGACACAATTCGAGGGACGGTTTAAAATTTTGTTCATTACGTTGGGTCTTCGGGTGCCCGAGTTGGAATCTTCTTAACCACTATTGGATCAACAATACGGCATGAAACGTGAAGCGAGCCTCCGTTTGTTTTCCAAGGTCTTTCTGTAATTTCAACATCGCCGGCTTGGCCAAATTCTCGCTCTCCAATTTTCAATTTGGCGCAACCGTAACATTCAGCATCACGAACACGAAAACTAAAATAAAAAATTTAAAAATGCAATCGTTACATGACTTTCAGATCTGGGAAATTTCCGCAAAGACAATCTTTTTTTTAAATCATATTTTTGTAAATTTCGCTCTTGGAGTGCCCATCAATTCCTGGAAGGCGGTTTAACTTGGAAATCTCACGGTCGGGTGCAGTTTCAGCTGAATTCCTTTACATTATTTCAGGTTCTGTGAGCAAAATTGAGGGGTCTGAAAATTACAAAATATTACTCCTATGAAATATTCACGGTAATTTCATATCCACCCGTTCAACAAGACTCGAATAAGGGAAGTGAGAGACAGACGCATGAACCAACCCTCGTGTGCACTGTACATCATCCCCAAAGAGACCGTGGTCCCAGGTAGCAGTTGGTCATCCAGGGTTGTTTCGTTATCCGTTCTAGTGATGTGTTCGTGAGTTACATCCGAGCGCGTTTCGACGGCTTCCGCATCTTCTCTCGAAACTACACTAGTTTGAAGTTGAATGATTTCCGTTCGGTGTTTCGGTAAGCGGATGAGGCATGAGCCTTGTGAAAGACTAGGGGAACGAGACAGGGACGAAATGCGGGCGAAGGAGGACGTTTTTGAGTCGAAATCTGCCCGGCAGCGGGATAATGACAGTGCGCGAGGTGCGCACTTGACGGAAACGCGGGTGTTCGCTTGCGTGATGGATGCGTGGGACCTTTTTCGCTGTCAATCGAGTCGTTTCGGAGCGAGTTTCCGTGGGACTTACTGTGCGTGGAGCTCGGGAAAAATCATGGAGGGGCTTACGATGGAATCCGAGCACGGCGCTGTCCAGGGTCTTCTTGATTCCAAGTTTTTGTGTTGTCGAAGTGGAGATTTTCAACCTGGGCTTTCGAGGAGTCTTGAGGATTCCTCGTCGAATTCCGGGGGATCCGCGTCTCTGCTCGAGCTAAATGGAAGAACAAAAATTGCATTGAAATTCAAGCACTGAAAACGGCTCTGCAATAGCCTTCAATAACTTGTACGTCGAAAATTTAAGAACTAAAAGCAATTCGCAGATTGTTATTTCATTTTTTAGCTCAAAAGGGTATACATTTGGCATGCATAGGGTAGACATGATAAACTTCCCGGCAAGTATGGTGCATCACGGGTTCCGCCATATAAATCCATTATATGAGTGTCCCTTTGGTAAAAAAAAAATTGTCGAAAACTCTTCAACTTTTAGGCCTATTGTTCGAATATAGTCTTGTGTTTTGCTAAAAAAAAATAAAATCTGTACAAAAAACTTGCTTCATTCAATCTGATTGCTTGTATACTGCATCATTAACTTTCCTGCCTCAACGAACAAGAAAAATTGAAATGCATTTGCGCTGCCAGCGTCAAGCCCGCCGAACTTTTCATAAAATTGCCGTCTTAGGAACTGTCAGATAGTGTATAAATTATTTCGAGAACCAGCTAGTAAGGCAAAGTTCGTATATTTTATCGCTGAACCTTGCGACGTTGAAATATTTGTTGACGATGCCATCCATGTTCTGTTGGACAGATCTGTCAGAAGAGAACTATCGCTAGTTTGAAGTGCACTTCTTGCTGTACGATTGAATGTTGAAGTTTACTATGCGACGGTATGTTCGACAACAGGAAAATCGTGATCTTAATTCAAGCTTCGAGGACACCAAGAATTCATAAAGGTGATAGAATTCTTTAGGCCTGAGATTTTCTATATTTTTGACCTGATAAATTATTTTTACTGTATAATTACAGTAATTTTCTTCGACTGAGTCCATCTTATTCGTTTCTTAGGGACATTTTTGAGTTTTTTAAATTTCTGAATTCCGTGATGAACAGCCTTTTCATAGTGTACCTTCAAATTTGCGAACATAGGTGTTCTTCCCAACAATTTGGAACTCAATCCGAATTCCCTTTCACCGCGGTGTTTTTCGTGATCGTGCGCGGAACGCAGGGAAGTTCTTGATGAACCTATGCCCCTGAGTCCCCCGCGCCTAAATCAGGAACCCTCTGATTCAAAGCGTTGTGACTCCGAAGCAGGTTCAAATGCAATATCTGTAGAGTTCACGTTCTTCGTCGTTATCCTTGTAAAATACTGCAGATCCTTGAACGCACAGGAAGTCGATTACAGTATTATTGCGCGAAAATCTCGAGCTGACTCGCGGATTCCGTAGGTTTCCATGACTCAAGTCCTCCTCGGGGACGACGTTGTATGAAAACCACGGGGCGTCGAAATCACGGTGTCGGGACGGGGAAGACGGCAACGAGATCAAAAACCATTAGGGAGATGGGCGTGAAGGCTTCGGAAGCCCGTCTGTTTTCCGTGCGCGCGTGTCCCGCTGGGAACACGACGTTCCCCTACTTCGCCGACAGGATTGATCTGTTCCGAGCTGGTGCTCACATCCCTTACCGATGATGCTGTTCCGGCCCAGCCGAGCGAACCCATGTAACGCGAGGCGGCGTCTGAGAAAGCTTCTGGTACTTCCGTGCGAGCCACTCGATCTGACCCGGGGTAGCCTGCTTTCGGAAGTTGAGACCAACGAAGACCGCGTGATTGCGTCGATTGTTGGAAGACTATGTTTTTGGGAATATCTGAAAGAGCACCTGTTTTCTGATACTGTAATACACCCGATTGTGCAGTTCCATAATCTTAAGAGTAATTTTCCTGACAACAGCTCTCGCGAACATTCATTATTCGAATTAACTCGCATATGAGACGCCATCGAGCCTTCGACGCACACCTTTTTTTCTCCGCATCGCAACATTGCCACCATTTTATTATGCGAGAATAAGACGCACATTCATTAATTTCAGTTTCTTCGGAATCCTAGGATTCAAAGCTGTACGATATAACCATACTCAAGCTTCGATTACAAAGTTTATATCTTCAAGCATTTTCGATATATACTCATCCGTATACCTTGCACTGAAGATGTCAGTGAAAATTTGCTCAATTGGATTCAAACTCAAATTTCACCCATAAGACTGGCCTGGTCAAAAGCAATCATGAACGCATCCTGCGAATGTAAGAGAAGTCATCGAATGAAAGAAAACATCAATTACAGGCATTAGAATTCACAAAATGTTATTTTCCGCCAAATAATACGCTATCAAATGTACAACGTTGCCGGACCGAGTTCGAGCGTTCTGTTCTGTGGGGAAGTGCGTGAGCACTCGAAGCAAATTTTTTTATTTAGTGTTTATTTGCTCGCAGAAAAGTTACTTTGTTTTTACTAAGTTTTCATGACCGTGAGTTTCGGACATGAAAAATCGCCTGAAACTCGACTTCCAGGAGTTAAAGCCAATTTTCGCGCTCTCTGATTCTTTAGCCAGGTATCCTTTCATGCGAGAACGTCAGAATACTGTATCAAGTTAATTTATTTTTATTTGAGTGCATTTTGCTGTAATATTTCCTTGTAATTTTTTGTAGCGTCCGTAGAGTCCGTTTATCATAGGTTGAAAACCATTGTTCAAAGTCCTCGTCCAAAATATCTTCGACAATGTCTTGAAATATATTGACAATGTTCTGCCGTCTTGCTTCGGCGGAACGGAACATGAGAATATGTTTTTTTCTTCCAATGAGGGATATGCTTGTTTACATATACTGTATTATGTAAACAAGCATATCCCTCATTGGAAGAAAAAACATATTCTCATGTTCAGTACAGCAATTAAATTTTGAAGAAATGCATTGAAATATTTGAATCGCATCATCCATATGATTCTAGGAAAACATCGCGCACGAGAGCATGTCTTGAAAAAATTTCTGATGAATCCAATTACTATTTGCATATGATCAAAAGATGGCGTGTACTTTGGTAATCTAGTGCGACATTCTTCGAGACATTTTTCCGTCAGACGTTTTAATACTCTTCGGAGGACATCGCCGACCTTTTGACCCCTTGCCGGAGAAAGACGTAACTGTCACTCACGATTTCTAAGCGACTTTCATCCGGTCCGGTCTTGCTGACACAATCGTTGCCGAGGATAGGCCAACAGAGCATTCAAGCGTACGATGAACTTGACAGGTGAAGCATTTTCATGCCGCTACGAAACTTGGATGATCAGAAACAGAATCCATCTCGAGAAATGGTATGCTGTACTTGTCTGACGAGTAATCGCAAGTTCTGTTGCGGTTTCGCAAGTGAATGGCTACCCAGTCAGTCGTTCCGGGAGATTCGGTTCTAGCCGCAGACTTCGTTGAACATTCTGGTCGTGTTTCGGAAGGGTGTCGCATTTGGGGCATGCTTGAGCGTATTGTGGGCGCCGAGCGACGTGCGGCGTTACTGCGGTTTTACTATTACTGTCGATGGCGCGTCGTTGTCTGACTCGCGGGGGTTTCACGCCCCGTTTGTTCGCCACCGGACGGCGTTGGAAGTCGTAAACCTCAACTTTCTCCTGATTGACGTGAGAAACCGCGGGCGTCGTGCGGCGGGGGGAAATTGCTGTGGGATAAATTCTCGTGAATTGCGGCGTGCATGGGAAAGCCTATGACCGTCTTTTTTCCCCCATTATTTCCCTTCCTCTCGAAAGCCTTGCGAAATCCGTGCTATGGCAGGTTTCCTGTCCGGACCTGGGGGTTGCAGTTTGATCCCGCAGAAAACCATGCGCATGTTCGATTGAAAATGTTCAATATGCGCAATTTAAATTTACTATAAGTTTCTGTAAATCGGTACAAAACGTGGATTGAAGCGAATGAAAACGTCACTAGTACAGATAACAAAAGAAAAGGGAGCGATCGGTTTTTGAAACCCGCAGTGAACAAAACATGGATTTTAGCTGTGTGCACTTTTGAAATGAGTACAATAAGAGTGCAATAAAAACTTCTGTAATAATATGTACCTTATTTGAACAATAGCTGGAGGTCATATTTGATACAAAATAGGAAGTACCCAACGGTTTCCATATCTTGAAAGTGCTACTGTACCATCTAAATTCTGGAAAAATATTGACAACGTTGGAAGTTGAACACCGTCTGCGCAATAATACAGACCTTTTTCTGATGCACAAAGAATCCCAATTTATTTTAGAATCGATTGTCTCTTAGATTTGCATCATCGCATGCTAAAAAAATCGTTTATGGGATAGCCGAAAAAATTGCCCCTGTTCAAATGATCATTCATGGAACACCTTCCCCGTATTGAGCATATGTTCAATGTATTTAAGCATGACCTGAATGAAGTTCAAGAAACAAACGATATCGATTGAAGATGCAAGGAAGTGCGGCCATGTTTCCATGTGTAGTTTTATTTCGTCGCAACGTGCTTGTAATAATACTGTTTTTAAGGTCAGTGATGCTTGAAAGATAATCGAAGTATCTCGCTACTTGTAACTCATCATTGCATTGAATTGCTTACAAGGATGCATCATTTAAAAAACGTTATACTTTTTAGTCCACTGCCTGCAAAACATTTTCTTGCGTACTTCATTCTAAAACAGGTGACACAGTGTCTTAAAAACAACGGCGTCTTGCATTTGCGTAAATATTTTACTTCGATGAGATTACTTAGCTAGTTAGCTCTCAAGTTGAGGGGTTAAATTCAATTTAAGTTGCTGAAATGGGCAAATATAAGTTGGAATGCGATTAAGGTACGCATTCCTTTGTTTCAAAAAATGGTTGCAGGAGCCGTCATGTTCCGAATTTGATTTTCATCTCCGCTAAAATTTTGAACATTTCCACTTCGAGTGCTCATGAACAGGATTAGTACGGTTCTAATAAATACTTTACCTGTTTTAGTATTTGTTATTCCGAAGTTTCGTTGCTCAGGTAAATAATGAAAAAATTATGCTAATGGTGCATATAAAATTCGGCAGCGTATCCCACGATAAAACCTAACTGTTACGGTATTTGGTAAAGGCAAATGTCGTTATTGAATTCGGCGAAAGGTGGGAAATGCAAAAATTGTTCCGAGTGAGGCCAAATGGATGATTAAGTTATTGATTCCGTTTAAATGCACCTACTTATTCCACGACTGTCCATTATTCAGGCGAGCTTTCCTCGACGTCTGTCGCGCCTAATGACACAAGGTGACAGAATGCATGAGCCCTTTGGTTATTGCCTACCATAAAAAACTCTCCTTCGTGATGGTTACTTCCTCCTTACTTCGTTTCTCAGTCGATACCCCAGAAATTAGTCTCCCATGGAGAAATATGGCGACTGCCCGCCATAGACATCGATATGTATCAACGCGCGTGATATATTGATGAAGCCTCATCAATCTCGCGGTGCATTTTCTTTTTCCCTCCGCACGCGTACTCATAGTGCTCTACGTGGACGCATCGCTGCGGCATGATAATGAGTGCCTCCCGGGCAAAGGTAAGCATTTTTATTTCCATTATTATGGCGTGCTTTATCTTGAATTGCCTTTCCGCTGCTGGCCGAATGCTCATAGGCTTTAGACGAGAGTATTTTATCTGGAGAAGTTCACGTGTGACTATAGCGGGACTCCGTGACTCAAGTGCCGCGTTGTGGAAATAACTGACAACGGAAATAACCTCCCCCCTTCAGTACTCTGGATACCTTTCCGTCCACAAGTAAATTGGTCTTGTGGACGCGGGAAAAACGATGGGTTTGTCAAAAAGTCAACTTCATAACGTCACGCACCACATGTCGGCATCTAAACGTTGAACCGAAAAGCGTTTTCCATATGTTTAGTTATTGTCAAATTTGGTCATTCCCACTTCGGTATTTATTTTACTGTCGAATATTTCTACGGTGAAACTCACGGGGCAGAGATTCAATTCTCTACGCAGAGAATAGGCAATGAAACGGAAGGTGTACTTCGCCGAAGAAAAGTTCGTTGCACGAAGAATACTGTATTTTCTGAAACGGATTTATTTTAGAGAGATTTCACTTGCGTTGGTTGCATTGTGTTCGTAATCGTCATCATTTAGAGAGAAAGCTCGGGGATCTACATCATACACAAGGATGAGCTAGGGTGATGCGACCATGAGAAAGAAGTACAGGGCTAATCGCTATGTGTTTTGATCGTCATTATTATTTCAAGCCCTTCGGCACGACGCCGAACCTTATGTCTTCAATCTCTGTTTTTTTTATTCTTCATCCAATTAAAAGAAGAGCATGATAACAGGGTGATGCAGTCATGTTTCATAGTGAACTGCACGAATGGCAGTAATTTATCAGCACATTATCCGTTATCTGCGTGATCAGAATTGCTCTGAACAGTTCCTTTCGCTACTGCAAAAAGTCATGTGCCTTGTTTCCGCTATCTTCATGATCAACATTCAGAGTTCAAAATTCGCACACCTAAGCAGAAGAATGAGCAAGAAACTCGTTGCTGGAAAATGTGATAGGCATAATGCTTGAGGAAGATAACCGGTTATGCTTTATTCGAGGCAAGAAACCATTCATCGTTTGATCGCGCTCGTATTTGAGCATGATCCCGCAAATCACTGTTATTTTGCTGGGAAGACTGTCATCGTCCTTTTAATGATTCCCATGGTCGGGAATCTTTATAGTTCCGGTGAATTGCGTGATTCAGCTTGATTGTTTTTATACCTTGATCGCGGGAAATTGTTCTGAGAAAGGGGTTAAACACCTCTGATCATCCAGAACAAATTTAGAACGATATGATCATCATTCCAATTGTCATTGCTCGCCTTTAGTCGAGTCAACGTACTGCATGTATTTTTTTTTCTTGGTATTCGAACGCTTATTTTACGGATGAAAAATGTAGCTGGGCGACGTATTACAAAACACGCAGTTGGTACTGTATGTGTTCGTTAGCTGCAATTTGAACGAATGTGATAAGCTGAGAACTTTCAGGAAGAGCCATTGTTCAGAACTTATGTACTGTATTGGCTAAAATTCTTCGAAGTGCGATGAATAATTCAAAAATTTTGTCAGTGCCTTGAAATGAAATTCTTTGGGAACTTGGGGGTCTTCCAGTCAGGACTGTTATAAAATTCTGAGTCTCTGTGGAAAATATACTTGAATATACAGTACTCTTCCATTTGCCATGGATTTTATTAATTTCATTTTATTGCGTCCCTGGGTTTTGCTCGCTGTTTGACTTTTTCGATATCCTTCTCACCGGACATCACCAACTTCAAAACGTTTTGTCTACATGGTTGTCAGATGTGTGACATTTTGACTTGGATAATTTTTGATGATCAGAAATTCCTGGTCGCAATTGACTGCTGATTGGTTTAAACTGCAAGAATGTGGGTAAATTATATTTGATAGGTATCGGGGTGCACTTTCAACTCTACGTCCATAATATAGTTCAGCAAGGGTATTTAAAGACAGGTTATATATACGAGCATATGAAGCAGCCCTCGCACACGTGGATCGTTTTGAGTGGTCTTTTTTTCAATTAATGGAAGTAATTATTTTCATTAAAGAATGTGTTCACGATTTACGTGGAAAGGGTCATATTTTTGCTGTGTCGTGGTCGAACTCTTGTTCCCCAGGGGCTGGGGAAAAGTTTTTTAAGCGTTTTAAGAAAGATGAAAGCGTGGGAAATGTTTCATTCATTCGTGTCTGTACGTGCAGGGCTTTTCGCTGCCTCCCGAGGCAGGCTATCCGGTGAACAGCGGCGATGGACCCCGCTACCTGATGATGGAAACCCACTTTGACAATCGGGGCATGGTGCCGAACCTCGTTGACAATTCGGGGCTGCGGTTCTACTACACGCCGAACCTGCGAGCCCACGACGCTGGCGTCATGTCGCTGGGAATGCACCCGAACTGGCGTCATCTGATTCCGCCTGGACAATCCGCTGTTCTCTCGCAGGGCCATTGCACTGCTCCTTGCACTTCTCAGGTAAGCGGGAATTCCTCATTACTCTGAGCTTAATCGCTCCGCGACGAACTTTCAATAGCCGCTGGTTTGTTCTGCTCTGGATGAAATTACCATACGGCCGGCGGCTTTTGTGCGGTCAAGACTGCCCCCTGTGGGTAAGTTGTCGTTGATGTTGCCCTGTTCTAGTTCTGCGCAAACCCCGAAGTGATGAAGTACCCCAGTCGAATCAACCCTATAGTCAGAGCATCTCTACCTGTGCTCCGCTGAGCTCTGAATGCTCTTCCCAGGGGTGCTGCTCGAGGGAAGACTGGGAAAAGTTCAATGAAATTCAATATATACTGTAGAAGCAGGGCCATCGAAGGTAGGCAATTAGTGTCTCTATAGCTCGAGGGACAGACTATGGCAAGTTACGATAGCTTGATTTTTCCATGACAAAACAAACCAATGAAAGAGTTTCGTCGTAAAAATTGATTGCTAGAAGGGCTCCTCGAATCAAGACGGTTTCGAAAATCTTATAATTATTTCAGGATGCAAAGATTCGCATAGCTGGCTTCCCGTCAACGTCCAGTATTGAATATCCAATATGCTAGTTCGTAGTCTTTTTTCATTGAGCTGATTTCCTCTGACCAACTCGTAATTGAGAGTTGACTTTGCGCTAGTTTAATTCTATAGCACCAATAAGACATGCGTAGTAATTGAAAAAAAAAATCGCCGAGTGCAGTACAGTACATTATTGCGTAACTTTAATTTTAAATGGTATTGAGTGAGAAAAACCAAAATTGTCCGAGCTGGAAATTCGCTGCGAAACAAACTAGCATTTTTACTTTATTGAAGATCTAAATTCATCGCACGAAGAAGTGTTGCAGCCGTGAATTCACACGACGGGATTTTTCGAACTACAGTATATAAAAGTTCATTCATTATTAGTCCAAAAACAAAATACAACGAGAGTAACCTTCCAAAAATCAGCTGATGTAAACAGAAGTGAAAAATACTAGGGTACTGCATGCCGTTAGAATGGAATGACGGCACAGCCGGAAAGATTCATCGTTCAGATCGCATCACGCCTTTTACACGCACTGCGGCACACTCCCAGAAGATCGTGGTTGTAGTTCAATTTTGGTTGAAAGTAAATGCTGCGACTTTCGTCGCAGACTGCGAAATAGAGCAGGAACATTGCAAGGTCTTCGGCAGTGTGATAAATACACCGAGAGTGAGTGCAGCAGCCTCTCCTTCCGAGTCAGCGCGTGTGTTGTAGCAGTTTTGATTTCACGGACAGGCCCGAGGTGTGACGAAAACGTTGATTACTCCGCGAAGTCCGGGGAAGACCCCGGGCCGCGTTGCGTGAGTCCTTCCTACCTGCGTCCGGGAAATCGAACGAAGCCCCCGGGCCTAGGATCGCGTATCGTGAAAAATCGCTGCATGGTTAACGTTGAAAAATCGCCGAAGCCCTTTAAAGTGCTCCTCCGGTGTGTGTACCGTAATTTCCGCGAGATCGCGAGCCGAGAAGGCCGGTCGTCCTTTTTATCCGACCGGCGTAGCGCGGGTCCCAGGCAGTAACAAATGAAGGGACATTTGTTACGGACCACGGCGCGATGACTGAACTTTTTTTCCGCCCGTTCGATCCGACCTCCACATTCATCGAGTGTTTGGATTGAAATCTGTTGACTCGGGTCATTTTTCTCCGGTCGGGCGCTTTGGTTGCGATCTCACCTTTTATCCTCCGTGAAATGTATCAGCCGAATCCCACGGGTTCCGATCCTCGATCCCCTGTGGTCCTTTTGAACCTCCCGGCTTCGAAAAATTGTTATCCAGCGCGCGATTCAAATAACTGTAAAACGTGAGTTGCATAGTTTTCCCTGCGTCAGTTCCCAGTCCCATCCTTTCAAGCAAAAGCGCATTTGCTTTACAAAAAAAAATCTGCGACGGATTCATGATGATGACACTCTGCAGCGATTGCGTTTGTCCACTCGTAAGGACGTATCAAAATTACATGACTTTCTTCGTAGTGGAAAATGTGAAAGCTTTCCTCATGACTGAAGAGGCGTCTGGAAACCACTGTTCGACTTCGGATTTTTCCGAAATTTTATTTTAAGTCTTTTAGTTCTGAAACTCCGCGTTTCCGAATGACGAGGGAGAGTCTCCAGCATTTCCTTGCAACGGCAAAGGTTACTGAATTTTGCGAATAATAGTGCAGTTCTGTACTGTATAGGATTTCTTCAGGCCTAGTATATTTCCGAGGATTGAAATTTGATCCCGAAATATTTGAGGCCCGTTTGAAGATACTGTACTGTATATGAGATACCTGATATACGAGTTTGTTGGCCGCGATTATTCCTTTAAAATGTGGATGATGCGTTAAATCGGCATTTTGAAATTATAATAATCTTTGTACGAGTATATGATGCATCTCAGTCTAATGTGTGCAGTCTATGCTCAAAATTATATCGTACTGTATCGACGAAACTATGGAAACGTAGCAAGTTTTTTCGCTGTAAACGACGCAATTTCCTCCAAAATTTACGCATTTTGTTGACCAAGCTTTCTCTCTCAAATTATTGTTCAGATCATGATGTATTATAGTCCATAAATTGAGCATTTGAAGAAGTCCTTTATGCATATTTAATCTTTTAAAGCTAATCCAACCGGCGAATCCTTGGTCGAGCCGAAGTAGAACTCTGGGACGCCGAACTGTGTGAGCAGTCATTTGGTGGGCACTCGCTCTTTCGTGAACAGTTCGGTGAACTATGGGATGAATATCTTTGCCTCATCAGCGCACTTAATGGTTCCATCGCGGCCCGGGCGAACAAAACGAGCGTCGCATGCTTCATTACGTCCCTTCCCGCGTGCACGGAATCGATCTTGACCCGGACGGATTGATGGCCCAGAAATGTCGCCAGTATTTGCCTTGCAATGAGCAGCCCTCTTTACCGTCTCTTTACTTTTTTTCGCAGGGCTTGCCGAAGGAAGGAGTGAACGTTTTTGCGACGATCCTGCACACTCATCTCCTGGGTAAGTTTTGCCTTTGTCTGAATTTTCTCCTTCGTTTCCTATCGCGCAACCAGATGCCGGAGAACCTTTTAAAAGCCTTTTATCTCGGTTGACATGCTCGAGAGCGGAATGGCTGCCTACTGCCTTTTTTTTTTCCTTAAACGGGACCTCTCCGCGCCTCGTTTGCTTCCTGCTGGGGATGATGGGTTCGATAAGCGCTGTTTATGCCCTCGTGCTTTACAGTATGAGACCCGCAATGGGGCATGAATCCCCTAGAGTTCAGTCTGCCGAAATTTCCTTGTATCGCTTCCAGTAGAGTTGCCTGGCTTGAAATCAGGCGATCAGCAAAATGTTCGTGTGACCTTCAGGCATTGATCCAGGATTTCGTGATGCTTCCGACGAGTTCATTTCCACCCGCGTCGAGATCGTGTTAACGGAATATACCTTTGATTTCTGGGGGTCACGCGTTACTTTATGGGCTGGTGAAGAATTAATGAGACAACGCGGCAAATGAGTTTCATCTCCAGATCAAGGGCTCTCCGTATCCCGAATGAGAACTCTCATTCCATGATTTCCTGCTTTGAAACGCGTAGAAAATCAACCCCCGACAAGCGAAGGGATTTTCTTGTGAAAGGTGTCCGCAGAAAAAAAGGATTTCATTTAAAGTATGCCGTGATGAATAAGCATGGACATCTATGAACTGTAAAATCGTTTCATTGCCGTTTAAAACAAGTTTCCAACGAGTGTCAGTAGACCCAATGAAAATGGTTCCATTTAACTATTTGAACTGCAGTAAAATGCTGTGCAGTAGAACATTGCCCGGTCTAATGCCCTCGTGCCTTCTCCCGGGAAATGAAATCTTTCATCCCGAACGGCCAAAACTGCAAACACTCAAATATTAAAAATGAAGTGCTTCTGAGATGATCTGCTTTCATGCAACCTGCAATAAGCTTGAGCAACACATTCTCTAGTTGCCTTCATTAAATTTTCTTCGAAAAGCCCATGATGTGGAATGGTTTTCTTCTCTGGCTCCCTCAGGATTTTTTAATAATTCATTTTTTAAATTCTTGCGATTGTGTAATCTTTGATCTCTCTGATTATCGTTGATCTTGATGTTGCCTGAATCCACGAAGAAAAAATTTAAGATAGAAACAGCTTGAATAAAAATCATGAATGCCGATTTGGTTTCTTTGGTTGAGGTGAAAATTTTGCACGGTTACTATGAACGTTGAGAATAAGAGTCTTTTTCCCTGCACAAAACAATGTTTTTGTATTGTATATTCCATGCTGACTGATTCTGAAGTGGTTATACGATCAATAAAAATGCCTTAGCTTTAGAGGAGTTGATTTTCGGGGTAGCGAATTTTTTTTTTTTTAGTGGAAAGTTTTCGAAGATGCCGTAGCTTTGTAGGAGTTAATTTTCGGGGTAGCGAATTGTTTCTTTTTTGTGGAAAGTTTGATCAAAGCAGCCCCACGAAGGAAGGTCTAATCGTGAAGGCGTTGTGTATCCGTGTGAGTTAACTTTTCGCGAGTTGTTTTGTTTTTCGCGATCCGTTCATCAGCGAGATGATCACAGGCAGCGATGAGTTGGTTCGCAGAACTTGGGCTATACTTGGAAAGTTTCCCCAAGCGGCGTCTGGAGTTCTTAGGTTGCATCGCTGTGCGATCCGGAACTGATTAATTTTTGGTGGGGAATCGCGGCATAATGTCCGGTTCTGATTAAAGGAGCGGCTTTACGGGCCGCGTGGTCCAGGCAGGGGCTTCGAGGCTTACTGAAAGAACGCCACATGGTCGCTTCCGAAATTGAAATCCCGTCGGTTTCCGTGAGACGAAGGCGATGAGGAGGGGTTTTCCAGCAGCAGCAGCTGTGGAAAACCGGAATGGGGAAGTTCCTCGCTATCGACCGGCTCCAGTCCGCGTGTCACTCCGGTGTGCACCAGTTATTATCTCACCGTTGAACCAGAGTGAACCCTCTCGACACGAATCTGATGTCGAAAATCACGATTCGAGCTGCTCTCCGAAGGGCCTTCCGCTTGTTTGGTGGATCATCGAGTCGATCGCCACTGACAACGGTTTGCCTCAGTCATGTGTGAAATCGATTCAATGACAGAGCGTGGTTCTTGGATGGTTGCTGCCACTTCAATTCGTCACGCCGGAGTTCGAGGGTCTTCAGGACATCGTTCCTTCTTATTTTCTTTTGCCGTATTTTGGCTACGATATTTAGGCGCTTCATTTTCGGAAAATGCCTCAAGAAGCTCGGATGCGGCCTATACAGTACTTTACTCGAGACAATCGCGTATGGGACCCCATTGCAGTCTCACAAGGAACAAACAGCTGATGAGGCCTATGAAACAAATACATTTTACCTTCTCTTAATGTCCGGAAGTGCACATGATCTCAGTTCGAACATTGAAATATTCGTTGTCCAATATAATTATGATACAATGGCTGCGACATTACTTTGAGGTTCGCTTCCCATTATACAGTATAATGTTTGATTCAATCCTGTCGTGCACGGTACTTTTGAAATTAATACTGTATGAGGACAACTCCAACGTCAACCTTAATTTGGTCAGTTTGGCAAACCCCATAAAGCTTAAAGATGAGAGCAGCTGTTTTTTTTTTTCAAGTTATGTCGCCGTCAAAATTTATTTACGAGCAAGATCCCCTTTTTTGTGTGGCACTAGCGCCGGGGTATAGCGAGTACAACACAGTACTGTATGCGTGAAGTAGTTCGCAAATTTTGTGACCTTGCTATGAGCTGATGGGTACCTGAATTTCTGAATCAACATTTTTCAAATCATTGTATGCTAACAAGACAAAGAAAGCATGTGTTGTATTTCTGCAAATTTTCGTCAATATTGTATCCCTGACTTGGGCAAATTTTTGCTATCCGAAATACATTTTTTCCTACCTTCTCGTTCCGCATTGCTAATGAGAAAATTACCAAGTTTCATTGGAACGTATTTCTCAGGTGTGGTAAATCGTCACCAGAAGTATTTTTAACTACTGTATTTTAAACAGTGTAACAAGTATGTCACCTTCAAGTTCGTGAAACATGTACGTGTGCAAGGTAAATATTTTTTTCAATTTTTTTCTGTTCTAACCAAATGGGGTTAGGACCCATTGGAGTATTTTTCCGAAAAGATTTAAATAATACTCTTCAAAATGCATACCAAGCAACATTGGCAAAAGACTGAAAAGACGTATGACTCGACCCCGTACCTTTCCGAAGCTCGAAGATTCGAACCGCTAAGTTTTCAAGTGTAATGGAGACGTACTGTACACAGTAATGTACGGTATCTGGCTTGTTCAAGTTGCCTCGTCGATTTTGCTCATCAGAAATACTTAGCAGTATACAATTTATTATCTGAGTGCTGCTTGTGAAGAAATCCTGCATTGCCAAGATCGGTCGTAAAATAAACTAATCGATTAATGTTCGTTTAATTTGATACCGTATGGTCGAAAGCTTCTCATCGACTTCAGAACCTAGCGCTGCGTTGTGATCAACTCTATTTCCAGACGTCACGCGCGTGCTGTTTGCGTAATGTATGGCGACTGTTCGTGAATAATGGGGATTTCTTTAGATCGTCAGACATCAGCCCGCCCAAGAAGAAACGCACAAGGCTTCGATTCATAGTAATGGAAATAAGTAGAACATGGATGGGGCCAAATCAATTAGTCCGTCGCTCCTTGATTTAATGTGGTGGTTCTCATTGCATATATGAGTAAACATGCTGTGAATCAGACGGACGATGATTCTCTCACGTCGTGAATTTCTCGAGCGAATGTTTTTAATTTGTATTCCCTTCGTTGATCTTCCCGTGCTTTGCGTCGTGTTTCCCGTGCTCGGGAGGTTTTTGCTTTGCAGATTATCGTCGACTGTAATGCCACTTGAGTTGATTGGACTCGGAAAATGCGGCTATTAAAAGCAGCTGAACTTCTGCGTCATATTTTGATATCTTCTGGCAGTTTGGCTTTTCACTGAGTAAGGTAAACCCGCATCCCTCTCCAGAAGATCTGACGTTAATGGTTTATTAATCTTTCCGTTGCTTGCTTACTTCCATTCTCCGAGCCAATCCCATTATGTGCCGTGCCATATTTCCAAGTTTCTGATCAATCTTCCAATAGAAAAAAGCTGTTAAATTATAGAGCCTTGAACGTATGAACGTTTCTGTCTATTTCTGACTCGTGATGAGAGTTCGATTATCCGCAGCCCGAGTCATCCGCATTTTCTGGGTCGGTCAGGAATTGTGCGATGAATGTTGCAGTCATGATGATCGCATTTACATTTACGAAGGCATTTAGAAAGGCATTTACATTCCTCTTCGTTAGTCCACTCATCACTTTGCATACCTCAGGCTGTATTTTTCTGGCACGAGTTTTGCGAATTCTGTTTTATATATTTTAACGAGACAATCTTATTTTCGGGCTGGGATTCGAACGCGGTAAGAAATAAATACATTTTATTTTCCATCCGTCAAGGCAATTAGTGTATCCAAATAAACCGCCGAGTCAACGTCAAAAGCGTAATTCGACGCTTACAATTACCGGATGCATTAACTCCCGCTGAGTTTACTCTCGCAGGATTTTTTTTTGGCGGGGTTGCTGTCTTCACTGCGAGAAATTCTGCTTCCGGGTGCAAGAGCGAATAGTGAAGGGTTCCGAAAACTTTTTCCTCTGCCACTTTGTTTTTTGACAGCTTGTTTGCCTGGTGTCTAAAAATACGTGGAAGTTTTCCACGCAAGGGCATCCCATTTTTGATTTTTGAAGAAAGCTTATTGGAAGATTCGGGTGTACGTTGTTTGAGGGTGACTGAAGAAAAGCAACCAGGGGAAAAATAATGTCGAGACCGAGTAAAAGGCACCAATGGTTTTTTGGATCAAAGTCGTGTCTTTTGAAGCGTCTCTTTTATTCTGCCAAAGCCTTGGCAAATGTTGTATGCTTTTGATAATACTCGTACATTGGTAAAACCCTTTCAAACCAGAGATGCTCTGTACTTCATGAATATTATGAGCAGCAAACTTAATCCGCTCAGGCAAAGAACAAGTTCGCCCTCGGCTCTATTATCTTTAGTACTTCTTAATGCTGTAGGATTTTTTTCTGTGCCAATAATTTTTGTCGAGACTATTCAATCATCCTAAATTTGTAAAAAGCTCATTCAGTATTCCATCAAGAGTTATATACGTGGAATGAATGGAAATATTTCTTTTGAGCATACATGTCCGCAAATATCAGGCTCCCCTGTGTGAGACGAGGACTGGCCTTTTTGCAGCAAAAAGAACAAAAAATGTCCCTGAAATCCTATCAAGTTCCAATGAGACGACCCCCCCCCCGTTTTGTTGCCAAATATCAAGGGAATGTTCTCAAGGTTCTCGATTGAATGCGATACTTCGACCTAATATTCATGAAGAGAAGATTTGCTTCATTTTACCGCACGGTCGCACCCGAATTTCGAACCGCCATTAGAGGGGAAAATGGCACAAACTTCCGATCAGTTGTGAAATTTCCAAGGAAAATGAGGCGTATGTACAGATAACAGCTGAAAATGCCTTCTATCAAATTGAAACTCATTGGGATTAAAATAAATTTTCAAGCTCCAATAATTCAAAACCCAGTGAAGTGCCGCATTCCTTGTTCCGGGTGCGAACTGAGCCAGTGTAGATTGTAGAACGTATTTTTTGGTCACTCCCATGAATATCTCATTATCCGCAGAATTGACCTCACCTGAGAAAAGTGAAACCTGAAATTGCATGAATGCTTCCAAACGCATACCAGACCTAAGGAAAAAAAAACACAAGTGAAGTCTCGAGATAAACCAACTGGTGATCCAGTAAGGCTTGGGTACTTTCCTCCAGACAAGCTTTTCGGGTTATTTTTGAGCTGCTAATTTCGCGGCGTACGTATCTTCGGCGAGAGAAGAGTAGGACTTGCGCGGAACCGTCGAGGTTACTGGACGTTGCAACTGAAGGGTTTGGAAAGTGATTCTCGGCTATAGCCGACTTGAAGGGGTCGGTGGAAATGGGCTCGAAACGACGCCAGGAGCGGCATTATGCGTAGCGCGAGATGAGCCGGCGTCAGTGCTTGGAGAGCCTCATCGCCGCTGAAGGCTACGACGCCATGGAATCGGTTGTTTGCCTCTTCGATTCACGCCTTGATTTATGCTTGCTTCCTGCAGGGGAGAAAATCACGCTGCGGCAAATACGAAATGGAACGGAGCTGCAGCCCATCACCCAGGACAGAAGTTATGATTTTAATTACCAGGAGTATCGGCTCCTCAGCGAGCCGCGACGCGTAATGCCGGTGAGTAGAAGCCTTTTTCCTTGCTCTTCCGCGTTTCTCTGTTACTACCCGCCCTACGATTAGCGTCCCGTCCGAAGGTCGTGTCCGAGTACTGCGGTTTTTGATGTTGCTGGAAATGCCCGGGGCGGTTTCTGAAAATTTCCGCTGAGTGTTCAATTAAGGGCCAACAGGTCCTTCCGCCTCGAACGTGCATGACCCACCTTGCCCTTGCCAATAAAGTGTACCTGTGGTTCCCACATTAATTTACTTTTTATAAATTATTTTCCTCAAGCGCTTGTAAGTTGATGGTAAGCTCTTTGTTCAACTACCATAGTTACTCAAGCATAGAATACGTTTTCGGCGCACACAAAAATAAATGATTGCGTGTTGTATACGATGGTGAGCATGAACCTGCGTATGAAAGCATTCCCCTGACCAAAATTATCTTTCGAACTGAAAGGAAGTCTAAAATATAGTTGAACGAATCCTTCCTACAAATTTCAGTCACTTCATGTAAAAAATATTGTAACTCAAAAGCTTTTCGTCTGTGAATACAAGCATATCTAAATATTATTTAAATTATGAAAATGTAGGTAGAATTATTTTAAATGTTTTTTTGATAATGCGTACAGTTTTTTCATAAACGGTGAATTTTTCACTCAAGCCCCTGCAGAAACAATAAGCTTTCGAATGAATGCTGAACGAGTCTCACTACAAAGTATCCATACAATTGAGCACAATACATTGAATATTCAGTATTTCGAAAAGATTGTACTGTACACTGTTGATGTAATTAAACGACGTTGGCACGTAAAAAATTGAAATTTTTTTTCAAAGTAAATTATTCTTTCCGGCTTATCTCCGATCCTAGAACAGTACTATTGATTGATCTAATGGATACTGCCTTTTTTCAATTTGAACGTGTGTCGACTGACGCGATCGTTGTTCGATATTGTACTTCTCTGAACGTACCGCGAAGTAAAAGCTAACGCAATTGTAGAATTGGTTATTCCTCTGAGTACCGTAGCGTATTGTGGAGGACTTATATGCAGAACCGTAAATATCATTTACCCACATTCTGATTTTATGCTGTTTTCCATTCTACATGGTGCACCCAAGGGGGGTATAATGTAGGAAGCACCAAATGGTACAACGTTGGTTGCCCATCAGCACATGCCACGATCTTTCTGGCGTGGAATCCGTAGAGAAAAAGGGGTTTTTTGAAAAAAAACCTTATTACAGTATTTTAATTAATAATTTTCTCTTCTTTTTTTAAATCTCGAACAAATTATAATGTATGGGTAACTTTTTCGAGTAGCTAAAATTGCTTTCAAATAAATTCCTCTTGTTCGGTATTTCTATGCCAGAACTTTTTTGCTCAAGCTGTTAATCATCGCCCTTAAATATGAAGGAATCATGTCTCTTCGAAGTATCCAAAGATCAGATGAACAATCATAAAGCTGTTGATATGTTTGATAGACTCATAACTACGATCACCACAGAGGACCTTATCCTTATAATTGAAGCTGTAGGCATGATGATGCAACTTCTAATTTATGTTCGAAGTTTTCTCCGTTTAAAATTGTACGCTGAAAATATATCCTGTGTTCCCGGACGAAAGTATCATTTTTGAAGCACACAAAAGTTGAGATACGTGTTATAATCAACAGCATCTTGGGTTCAGGTCAATGTGATATCATACCGATGCAATCCTCAGAATCATATTTATTGGCGAAGTGCAAGATGGCATGCGTTCGGTTGCCGAATTTTTTTTTTTTTCAGCAGTATCCTGACCCCAGCTTTCTTTGGATTGCCGGAGATTTACTTTTTTATGTGATCTGCGCAGCGGTATCTACCGTCTACCATTGTTCTTTTTGATGTGGCATTTCCATCAGTACTTGTTCTAGTTTCTGGCGATTCCAGCCGATTCGGGTTTCTGTAGGCGTGGGAGATGGAAAAGATCGGATTTGATAACGGAATTGCATTCCCGATTAAATGCAGTAACTCGCGCATTCTCTGGAACTGTAGCTCTGCGGGATATCCCGTTACCGTGGATTGAGGAAAGCTTGTAAACATACTGGAACGTTTTCTAATTTTTTTTTTTGCGGCCGGAGAATTTTTGCTGAATAAATCGTGCTACGACAAAAACAAATTTTGGAAATGCTTGAGAAGGAGGTCGGCGAGGTTATTCCGGCTTGAGGCCGTTTCTGTCTCGTGCACAAATCTGGCGGCGAGACCCGTCAGCTACCCGTGTCATTGCGCGTGGTTTCTTTTCTATTTTTTTGTGGGTCGACGCCGTTTTCCTTCGTAACAAAAAAATGCACTTGTTCGTGGCCGGAGGAACAGGGCGGCTCGGCGGAAATTGTCGGTGTCCGAGCCGCGCTGAGGTTGATAATTCCGCTTTCGGCGGGAGCGCATCGCGCAGCGTGACCATTCATTCGCGACCGAACGTTCAATTACACCGTCGGGCTAGATGAGCAATCTGTTGGTTGCTCGCCCGGACAAGTTAGCAGAGCTCGGGATCACCTGTTGCACGAGCATGTAAAAAAAACACTTGCGGAGAAATTACACCCGATGCGATGATGATTACGCCAATAAAACCGTTCGGGTGCCCTGAAAAGTTAAAAATAAGCAACGAATGCCCCGGAATGCCGTCGCGTTGATGCCCATGTTCCGACCAAATTGGATCCCAAGCAGGCGTTTCAACGGCGGAATGGAGCATGTGCAAGCCTTCCGTTCCTTGCCTCGCAATATGCTAGAAACTCCGTCTTACGAGGTGAACTAAGAAGTGCCCCGATTCCTCAAATGAAGACGCCTCGAAGACAAAACGTTTGCGACGACAAATGGCGAATAATGCCGCCTCACTGATTTTTTTTTTCACGAATAAAATTGACTATGCAAGTATTATCGTGACCATAATGTCAATGAGAAAGGCTACTTTGAGGAATGATTATCAGATATTTTGAAATTTGTGCCTTTTATTTGTCGGATATCATGCTCTCAACTTATCCTCGGTGGGAGCAATAAGTTGAGAGAATTGAAGTGATAACACTTATAACATTGATTATGGGCCGCCTTACAGATTGGCTTTTTTCAAGTCAAAACCAGAAAAGTCAATCTGATATTCGCGTAGTTGATGTAGGCGCAACATTAGATCATGAATTTCAAGGCTAGATGGAAACGCGATTACTTAAACATCAATTTTTCCAGGTTCGTTTATTCAACAATCAGCATAGAATGAAGAATGGCGGAAAATATTTTGATTGAAGTCATAGCCCGCCTTTCGGGCTCCTTTTAAATGATCTATGTGAATTATAGTACTGTGCAGACATTCGCAACCGTGATTTATTTATTTTTATTTTTTGTCCGTTTCAATAATGTAAGTTGATTGAGGGGAGACCTTTCGAGCGTTATTGTGGCCATGTCACTGAAAATAACTTCAGTGAAATACTTCTCGAGTGTTTTAGATGAATTTTTGCTGTGCTCGTAAAAGTCTAGGATTAGAGTATGCTTAAAGCATATCCTCGGCGATGAAAAGATGCTTCAAGGTTTTAAATAATTTTAAACATTCGTATTTACTGACATCTCTCGACCACCGTAAAAACAATATTTTTGAATTTCACGTTGTGAATTAAATTATGGAAATGTACGGGTTCCATTAACTTAAACTTCACGCTTGCAACACCAGATCATGCATTTGAAGCAAGACGGTGGTCCTGTCTTGTTTCGTTCATTTTTTCAGATGCGATTCGCTCGGGCCAAGTTTTTCATGGAATCAGTAGAGAATAAGGAAAAATATTTTGATTGAAGGCACAGCCGGGCTTTCGCTCTGCTCGCTTCAAGTGGAAGTTTTGAATTGTAGCATGTGCAGACCTTTGCAAGGGACTCCACTTTTTTTTTTTCATCTGTCCAAGTGAGTAGGTTGATGGAGGGGAGAAATGGATCGTAGAACGTAGCTGGAGGGTGAACTCTTCGCGTTGTCTATCCTCACTGTGTGACGGGAATCATCCCGTGTGGAAGAAGAAGGGGGCTGGGGAGAAGATACGATGTAGGGAAAAGACGGGGGAACTGCTCACGGTATAATTGCGCCATTTAGAATAGCCATCGGGCATCGGAGCGAGGTGCGAACTGTAACGAGGCACCTGTTGGCGATCCCCGGCGTATCGATTATTCCGCCACTCGGGACACGCTGGATCAGATAACTATCAATAGGCGCATCACTGCGCGAAGTCAACATAGAGAAGATCCAAGATCTGGATTTTTTTTCTTCTCTCACCCAACATTCCATTCATGCCATGCTATTGGTAAAACGAGGCTTGGGAAGTAAGCTCCACGCGATGAAATTCGAGCTACTTTTCTGATGGCGCGCGGCACATTCATTTGTGCCCCTCACTTTTTTCACTTATTTTTTTTTCTTTGGCCCTCCTGATGCGTGTGATTATCGAGCTCGTCACAAGCTCCTTTTTTGTTGTTGTCAGCGATTGGTGTCAAAACTCAGCGTAAAGATGAACCGTAACCTAACTTCCACCGAGAACTAACGTAGCATCGAGCGCGCCTACACATTTCAGGCTGAAGGAGCAATCGTGTATGCGTGTCGAAGTTTTTTTTTTCTTCATTTTACGATCGAATTTCAAAGAAAAAGCTTTTCATCAGGAAAGTTCGATGCATGAAGTCTAATTAAACTTGCTTAGTTGAACGCCCAGCGAACTTTTGGCGCAGCCTTCATTACGCCAGCACCGAATTGCTTTCCAGGCTCAGAGCTTTCCGCCGATTTTCGCCGGGGGTGTGGACTGATGCTGAGTACAGTTTACGTCCCCCAGACGTGCTTACGAGGGAGATAGCGGGATTTGCGGTCTCTTGTCGAGGATTTCTCTTTGCTCCTTTTTATTTTCCCTGTTGGACTGGATTGATCTCGTGAGACATGCAACTTGGGAGGGGCAGAGGAAATTGAATGCCGTCCATGTACTCGCGTTACGGCAGTCGTGTTGACGCGGGAGTTGAGTGCTGTCTGTGACGGCGGGTTCATGTCGCAGGGAAAATGCCACCCGGTAACCTCAGCCGTCGCGCGGAATTGCAAAATAGGTCCCTGGTCAGATGTACGCCGTACAAGAAAACAATTCCCCCACTCCCGGAGATAAAAATCAAAACAGCGAACTTCGAATCATGCAAAGCGAGTCATAAATCATAGTACAGTATTGTGCGGGTCCCGTGTTGGGTATCACGGGAACAAAACAATACACGCTTTTCGTTTTCATGGTCATTTTTCCTCCATTGAATTACACGAATAAACCATTACATTTCCCCCCCCCCCCCCCCATCAAGTATGGCCGTATTCACTGTGTAAGACGAAATTTTTTTAAATTTCTTTAAACACTACTGTAGTTTTCATACGAAAGAAGACGCAATAGCTTATTTCAGAGCCAAAGTTTGACAAAAAATGTGTGTGTAATACTGGAGTGGATTCGAATAGGTCTTGCGTGTGTTAGCCGATTCGATGCACCCCTTCACTTTCAGCAGCATTGGGGAGTTTCGCATCGTTTTCTTTGGTGAATTTTGAAGCACGAACATTTGTTTGGACCCTCTTGCTCGAATCAGTGTTCTGCAAATATGCTTTTCTGAGACTCGAAAATGTTTTCGTGCTAATGTGAGGTTTACCTGCGTTTCTTACATCCTTGACAGTGCCTGAGGAATTCTCGCATTAACCACGGATGGGGAGTTGAAATGCGGTTTAGAAATACGCGGTTTTAAAATAAATGTTATCTACGGTCTATACGTTTTCTCCAATTCGCTGCCAGAGTTCGAGGCGCTATGTGTCTGAATTCCATTACTGTACAAGTGTACAGTATATGCCTCTCTTCACGAACAGCAGCAGAATCAATGGAGTGTTCCTTTTTATTTTCATTGTACTGTATTACAGTGTGGAATTTTTTCGAACTCCGCTGCCCAAATCACTGTGGTGCAAATACTGTACTAGCTGCTTTCTTTACGGAAATTTTCCACTTTTATTGGCTGATGATTTGAGTTCTCGTGAGCTTCATTTGTTCCTTGATGACGCCTAGGTAATGTACAATAAGCGAAGTGCTGTTCAGAAATTTCACGGTGCTCCTTTGCGAACAGCAACGGAATCTGTGGATCGCGTCACGTTTTTCTCATTGTGGGATTATGGTGCATGGTATTTGCTTTGACACCGCTGCCTGAATCAGTGTAGTGCAAATAAACTGCTCGCACAGGCTTGAAAATGTTTTCGCCCTCGTTTTCAGCTAATGTGGGGTTTACCTGCGCTTCGTATGTCCTTTGACGGTACCTGCGAAGTTCCCACCTTTACCACGGACGAGGAGTTGAAGTGCGGTTTAGAAATTACGTATAATAAATAAGTTTCATATACACGTTTTCTCTGGAGTCCGCTGCCGGAGATTGAAAGAATTTTAAGAGTAAAATGCGTCTTTCTTAGTTGGTGACTTTTTTTGTGCCAAAAAGATAGCTTTGAAAACACTCAGCAATTCCGTATGCATCGAAGGATTCGAGGCCGGGCCCATCCACTTTACAGTCGATTCGCTCGAGCACCACCTCATTTGAAAACTGCACGCAATCACAAATTCCGATGGAATGACTGTGATCATGTCTGGGTTCTGCCGACCTCGATTCACTATTCGTTCTGCGTAGAAATAACTCATGGCTTCAGAAAGTTTGCCCCACTTACCGGAAATTAATCAGCCATTCATTACTCGGGAATATATATATTTTTTTTCTACGCGGAGAGCCCAGGATATGATAAAAGCAATTCGTCCTCGTGGAACTGAGGAATGGTTTGAATGGGGCTCTCCTTGGTGCGGAAGAAAAGCAGGAATTTTCCAAGCGCCCGAGCCGGCGTTCGTTCGTTGCCTGAGTCCAAGGATTGCTTTGAATAAGGGAGTAATGGTTCTGGAATGATGCTGCTGGAAACGAATAAAAAAGCCGAGTGCGCCGGTCGTGACGGGTTGCGAAGCCCCGATTGGAAAACACTCGAATGCGGGCTTTACAATCCGGTTGCATTTAGACCCGCGACAATCCGCTGGTAATTATTTGATCGGGAGACTCGGGGTAACCGAGTAATGCGCTGCTAGACCCGGGCCTTTGTTTCCACCGCCCTTGTCGACCAGGATCATTGGCACACGATCCACTGAGTTTCTCCGCGAAGGCTACTGATTCAGTGAACCCTTCTCAAGTATTCATCGATATGCCGTGGTTTCTATGGGACTTCTCCTGTGTCGTGAAGTAGTTCTTTCGAAAGGATTCTGCGCCAGAACACGGTTTCAATACCTCCGGACGATTAATGACGGTTTCGAAAGCGTTGAGCGTCCCGTGGGATTCCGACAAATTGCATGAATTCGTCGCATTGCTGGGACGAATGATGACTTTTGTTTCTGACGAACTTCGCATGGGGTCAAAGAGAAGAACTCCGGAGGAAAAACATTCGTCGAATTTTTTTCTCGAGTGTTGTTTGCTTTAGCTGATTAGCAGACTGAACGAAACTTTATCGCAAACAGAATTCTCTGTTTTTAATGAATGTTCAACTGATAAAAAAAATATTTGGACTTGAAAGCGTTTCTGATGTGAAAAATGTATCTTTCAATCTTCTACCGAACAGCCATGAAATATCGGAGAAGTTTCAAAAGGAGCAAATGTGCGATCGAGTCGAACTGTTGGTCACGGTTGATTTCTGTTGAATGATTTTCTCCTGGCATACGCTTGGAATTATGCGGTATCCAACAACTGCCTGATATTTTATGTTTGCATCTTTGGAAATCTCAGCTAGTATTCATGAATTTAAAAAACATGAGCAGCTAATTTTGCTTCCTGATGACTTAATTCAATGAAGCGGGGAAATCAAAACGAAACTTAATGTAATCTATTTGAAGCGCATCTGATTCTCGTTTATTTTCAGAATTACTTGTCGAGGTGCTAAGCATTTCGTTCTTCGAGTTTCGTCACATCCCAGTATAAAACTATATCCTCCGTCAAAGATGTAGGCTAGTAAATACTGTAAACACAAACTCCTGTACTACTGGTGAACCCTGGAGTTTGCTCTTGCAAGACGCGCACCCTAATTTGCACAGATAAGTTAAATAAACAAAAAAGTGTAGAGCTCATAAAGCAATTAAATTATTCGTACCTGACGCGCTCGCTTTCATGTGTTTGATCAACGCATGAGAGAAATCATGTGTTCATTTTTCTCGTCGATTGGGCGAAAAAGATGTTCACACGATTAAATGCGGTACAATATAACGGGGTCCAATTTGACCCTTCATGCATGTTGCTGAATTTCCGAAGCTTTCTGCAGCCAAAATTGAGAGGGGAAAGCACTGCTTAGACTAGGATCTGAGATCATGTTATGTATATTTTATGTGAAAATGTTGAAGTGATAAATCTTGGAGGAGTTTACAGTACGGTTCTGTGTTTCGTTAAATTACCGTTGCGCATTCCTGCCGCAAATCATTTTGTTGATATAATTTGTTTTAAGGATGTGTTGATGCGATATGATCAACAAATTTTTTTTAGCAATTCGTGTGAAATAACCCCTCGAAGTATCGAAATTTCATCAGCAGTTGGATTGCACATGTTACAACGAAGTAAAGTGGTGCAAGGGATTTTTATGGCCAGGAAGTCGAAATACCGATCTCCATAACCCCTAAAGCTGAAAGAGCCTCTGTGCGAAACATAATTTTACCGCTCTGTATGAATTATTGGACATATCTGCCTGTGAATAAAAGTGTATCTCACGTTTCCCACCTCAATTCCATTTACGGTGCGATTCAACGACATCGTGACGCGGACCACCTGAGTTCTGAGCGCGTTAACTGCGAAATGCATCACTCACTTTTTTATGACCTCGTTTATTTTTTACGCAGGGATTTGTTCAGCTAATACTATGTCACCAGCCTCGTCATAAGCGTGATGAATACGTCATACATGATGTCGTTACATCGTAGAGCAGCTCATCCGAACGATCTCCGTAAATTTCATAATAACTTAAACGACGTTCAGTCTTTTCCTTCGCCAGGGTTAATTTTTCGAAGTATATTTCTCTGAGTTGAAAATTCACTCGAATGCCCATTTCGAAAATGTATAATTGACTACAATACTTCATTTGAATTCTGGCTTATCTCACCCATAAAGTGTTCTCAAAAACTGTGATGCTATTCGTGCTCGAAATACATGCGGAGGTGTATAAGCTGCGATGTTGATTGGAATGCGACGTACATTCGAGAAAACGTTTCAGAGGGAATATTTGCCTTGGATTTTCCAAATGGTGCAAAAAATGTCTTGAAGTTCAGAAAATAAAAATCGAATTCGGCTTAGTTTACAGCTTAGCTGTTGGCTGTTATTCCAGAGCGAAATACAGGACAGTATTATGTTCAAAGTTTGAAAGCCTGCTGCTGAATAGTACCAGAATGTCTATGATTTTTGTATTGTTTTCATGCATGGCAATACCGTATTTTTCTCTGGTATTTTCAAATGTGTTTTCGACCTATTCAGTTTTCTCCCTGAAATGGCAGCCCGGAATTAGGGTGCGGTCTATACTCGCGTAAATACGGGTCTATGACGGAGATGCCTTTGGGAAAGATAAGCAACGAAGTTCGCTCATTTCGAGTTTCCTCGAACGTCTTGCTTCGAAGCACCGGGGAGTTCATGTTTAAAAAAAAAAAAAACAGGCTAGATTTGGTAAACGGATCGGCGAAAATTATCGGATATTTTGGAGCGTAGTCCTTCGAAAATACGTAAGACTTCTGGGATAATGCGGTGGGCGAAGCACGGTCGCCGGGGGGCGAAACAAGTCCATCAGTGAGATATTGATAAAAGCCGAAGATGCAAGCCCCATAATCAGAGTGTTTTTGCGGCGACGGCGTCCTCGCCACAAGGTCCAGCGTGGAAACGGCTCCAAGTGGTAATCCGGATCTGGCGTGTAATTTTCCCGTGCTGACGGGTAACCAGATGAGAACGAAAATTGCCACGCCCGGCGGCGTGAATTTTTGTCGGGGCGTGGCGTCGGGCAGATTTCTTTTCCCCTCATTACGACTGATAACATTGCGAAAAGAAAAAAAAGAAGTAATACTCACAAAAACTGCTGTAATTCCGTGTTGGCCTCCCGCGTGTTGATTATGCGGGCATTACCCGTTCGTGTGCGAGGTCATGAATGATTCTGATCACGTTCGGAAACGGTTCCGCTTTCGTCGCACCCGATGAGATCAGTGTTATTCGCCACTAAATTGATTGCCGCGTTTTGCGGTGATTTATTCAACTGTTTATCGGCGGTTTTTTGACCGAATGTGCATATTCTTTACCCCCCACAGGGCGACCATTTGATCGCCGAGTGCGTCTACAACAGTCGGAAGCGGAATTCAATCACGCTTGGCGGGTTCTCCACCAGAGAGGAGATGTGCTTGATTTATGCCTTTTACTACCCGAAGGCTCCGCTGTCGGTGTGCTACTCCCTGCCCAGTCAGAAGACGGTTTTCGAATCGCTGGGCATAACGGAACTATATCCGTGAGTATTTCCCTGTACCTAAAACTCATCATGATTCGTCTGCGAGAAAACCTGGAATGCTTTCCATCTCTCGAGACGAGTGTCTCTGAGACATGTACTGTTAACTTTTGTACCCGTTAATGTGCGTGCTGTTTATTCAGGTAGATTCCTTCTTTCTTTCTCCCATCTCTCTTGAACGATTTTCTTCACTCCGTGTGAGGAAAATTTTGCCGTCTTGGCAGAAATTCCATCAACGGTGCATTAGGAGAGAAGTACTGTACTATGGATCGATTTTTAAACGGTGATATATCTTGAACTACGGTTGAAACTACAGTACTGTACTTCTTGATTGATGATAAATAAGCTTTATTTGCCGCTTGTCAGCGTGCACAAGCTTCAAAAGACTGCCCTCCAAAACACACATGTTTCCATTCCAAAGAAAACACATCACAGTACATACAAATTCATGAATAATGGCTTGGCGTCAATTTTCTATAAAAAATTACAGTAAAATAAGTACAGTTTTCAACTGTGCTTCTTGACAGCAAGAGAGCCAAATTAAACTTTGTTCAAAAACTTTTCCTTTGACTTTGAAAGATGAGATCATGTATCGTTGGTTCTGTGATCGAAAATGTAGTACAGTATGCTACTTTTAAGGCAAGCTTCAACCGCTAAAGCAGTATCACCACTAGAAAAAATCTGTTAACTGCTTCCTAGGCTACCTTGTACGTGTAACGACATAAATAAGAACAGAGTGGACTAAAAAATAAAAGGCTGTTTTTCCATAAGTGGTTTGTCTTGAACGCTTGCATGTATTGAATTACGTTCAGAAAGTTTGACTAGTTTTATTCGTAAATGTGACGTTTAATTCTGTCACTAATGATTGCAAAAGAAAGTGGATGAACGTCGACTTCTTGACTTTTATATTTTTCAGATAGATCCCTCAGGAGATACGAGTATTCATGTTCAAACGCTAGTCCAGTTTTTAGTCCTTTCTTCGTATGCAGCTCTTGACGAATATAATGCGCTGTAACAGACAGTATTAGTTTGTGGTCATGCGAGTGCTGTGGTGAAGGACGCCCTTCTTACTGTTAATTTTCTAAAAATACGTCATTACCGATCGACAAGAAATGCTCGATTTTATATTTTCCCAAGAAGTACGGTAGGGCGTCGTATATCCGGTATTATGACATCGGTGTCTTCCTGTGGAGAAAATGAAGAGAAGTTTCGCCTTAATCAGAAATGCCGAACATTTAATAATCATTCAGTATATTACAGTATCTTACATTTTTTCAATCATGCGAATTTTCAGAAATTATTATTTTTCAATTGAGAGTCTCCTAAAAATGCCAGCTGATCACACTGTGACTTGATCCGGAAGAATGTCTTGGGCATTTTTAATCGAATTCACTGCTATAGGCGACGCTCTGCTCTGCGTCATTTTTGAGTATACAGTAGAAGGCAATGGGATCCTGAAATACACTGCTTGACTGCGTGCCGGATAGGACCGGAATGTGTAATGGGTTGGTTCGTTGGTTGGTTAATTAATTCCGGTCTTCATCCTTTCAGGGCGACGGACACGACCCCGGTTCGAATCAAGAATCCGCCAGCATTGAGAGACATGACACTGGAGGAGCGTCTGTTAACTTACGACTGGAAGCGAAACTTCGGGCACTTCCAAGACGTCACTCGCCGAGGTGCTTTTAAGCCCATCTGCTTCCTGGGTAGCGAGGCACTCATGACAGGGGTATGTTGTTGCACGCCTCGGGTCCTTGTCACTTGTGCTGACGAGATGCCGTGTTTGTTGCAGAGCGAGAAGAAGGATTACTTCACCCCGCGGGTGACGGACACAGCCCAGAAGCAGAGTCCGTGCGCCAAGACGGCGGACAAGATGCGGAAGATGCCGAAATGGATGATCAACGACGACAGCAGCGTGTTCGGGGACGACGCGGGCAGTTCCCGAAGTCCGGTACACAAGAACTCGTACCCGGGCCCAGCGGAGGCGGTGCAGTCCTCAGCCAAGTCCCTGTGCTCCCCGTTGCTGACGTACTCGGCGATCGTGTTCTCGCTGGGCGCCGTTCGTCTACACGCCGCCATGCGAGATCCGTCTTTATTTTCCTTGCCCAGCGGGTGAAAACGATGAGAGAAATCCTAATCCTTTCGCGAAAGAGTCTGAACCGAGTCTTCCTGCGTCATCTATCCTAGCCCCTCGTTTAGTTTCTCGCCGCCTCTTTTTTATTTTAATATCGAGAACGGAGTCGGAAGAAGGAACCGGAGTTCCTTCGTCACCTTCTTTTTTCCACCTGCACAGATACGCTTGTCCGTCCGGGTGTCCCCCCTTCCTTAGATTTCGCGTGGGAGCCGGTCGCCGGAAGCCCGAGTGTTCCCTCGTACCTGATGCATGCGAAGGACGGACCGCTTCCTTCTCCGAACTCGGGACACGTACGGAAAGAAATTTGGTGGATGTCGTCGGTGGAATTTTCTTTTGAGGAATGGGAAACAGTCAGATGTGATTACCCTGTTTCCCCGGGCTTATGGTCTCGTGATACTCTTCGAGTACTCTGTCTTTCGTAACATTTTTCGTCTCCTAATCGAAGGGAGGAGAAGCGTGTTGCACGAGCTCGCACCTGGTATCTCCAAGGGAAGAGTCGATCTCAAGTGTACAGAAAGTTTCTCCCTCGGGATTTTTTTGTTTTGTTTTGTTGTGTTTTTTTTGCCTCCTTTCCCTGGAGCTTGCATCTGTCCTCGATTCTCATTTTCTTCAGTGACCCACCCGGGGAAGAGTGGTTGAGTGGGATGAGAGTGGAAGGATTTCGTGTAAGCCTTGAGCAGAGAATGTCACTTTTTTTTTTTTTTTAATCAGTCTGTGATATCATAGAATTGCTTATGAAGTAATCGACGTGTAACCCCTGGACACTTGATCCCTTCATTGTTTTGTAATTTGGAGAGATATGGAGGGCGATGAACTGTGACGTACCTTGCACAAAATAGAAAGGAAAATAAAACCCGTACACTCTCCTGATGATGCCTTGTTTTATTCATCGAGGATATTTCAGCAAACATCACGCTGGTGGACTTCCGTTGGAGGATTCCGCGGAAAGCCAACAAGAAATTCGAACACTGAGAGATGCAGGTATTTATCAAGGGACTACCCTAAGAAATCCTCGAATAGCGACAATAGTCATGAAATCGATTAAAAGAATTTGATTCCCTGGCATGGCGGAGTGGGGATGTTAACATACCTTGTCATCACTCCGGGAATACCCAGAATGATTTTGATACAAATTTATGAAAAACTTGTCCTCCACAAAATGAGAATGATTCCCGGCTTGAAAGTATAACGAGAAATCCGTCGGTGCGTTTTATCTACAGTACAGTAATTGTTCCGGAGTGAGGAGCATCTGGGCAGTACAAGGTGTGTCGTGCGACACCTAGCACACACGTTAAAAATTACAGAAATGTGTGAGACTCAACTTCCACAGATGTCACATACATTTTCACCAGGTTTTTACGTTCTGCGTCGAACGTTCTGCGCCGATTAAAATTGTGAGCAAGGGGTTCATAAATCCTTGAGGACGAACGAACGTCGACGTCTCCTTGAAACCTGTTTTTGAGCACGCCGCATTACTTCTGCGATCATCTTTTTTGCGCTCTTGTGTGTGCAATACTTCTATAGATGTCACTAGTCAAAATCTCAAAACAATCGTTTGCCAACGGCATACGCTCATCGCTGAAAATTTCAACGCGAATACATACAACGATGATACATTCATGATTGCTTTAAGACAACGTGTTTGCCTTCATATCAACAATCAGTGCATAACTGATATCCTATTCGAAATATGGTGATAAGCTGTGAAACACATACAGTATCTTCAACCAGCATCTGAAACTTCCGTCTTGGCCTGCAGTATTACAACAGGGCCTCGACATACGAGGGTTCTAACAAAAGTTCTCGGAATGAAAATGAAGATGGCGTCTAATCGAGCTGGAAAAAAATTATTCTTTAGGGCAACCATATTCTTTGGCACAAAAAAAAAATCAGCCCAGTTTGACAATTTTTTTCAATTTTTTTCAAAATTTACCCTGGCAGAGTTTTGCTATACACTCAACAGATGAGGCACCCTTCCTGCAGCTTTTTATTTTTTTGTGGCCCAGTTTCCCCCTCAGAATTCTTGAAATGAACTTGGCATTTTCTCTAAGGGTTGCCTCCAGGTCATCTAAGGCAATTCCGCCATTTTCATCGACAGCCGCCGTCACAGCCGCCACTTTCGAGCTGGAAAAAAAGTGGCCGCCACTTCGGCGGCTGTGACGGCGGCTGTCGATGAAAATGGCGGAATTGCCTTAGATGACCTGGAGGCAACCCTTAGAGAAAATGCCAAGTTCATTTCAAGAATTCTGAGGGGGAAACTGGGCCACAAAAAAATAAAAAGCTGCAGGAAGGGTGCCTCATCTGTTGAGTGTATAGCAAAACTCTGCCAGGGTAAATTTTGAAAAAAATTGAAAAAAATTGTCAAACTGGGCTGATTTTTTTTTTGTGCCAAAGAATATGGTTGCCCTAAAGAATAATTTTTTTTCCAGCTCGATTAGACGCCATCTTCATTTTCATTCCAAGAACTTTTGTTAGAACCCTCGTATACTGCTGGGAGCCCCGACATGCGGAAAATTTTGCTCAAGCCCACGTTTAACCTAAAAATTCCGCCCAAACACCTGAACAATTACTGTTGAAGATATGAACACCACCAAATTCCCGGAGAAGAATACACAAACTGTGTATTATTTTCGAAACTCTGTACATCCTGAACATTTAGCCTATTGGACAGAAACGCAACTGGAAGACGAATTTTTCGCTCCTTTTCAGGGGCTTTCTATCAACTGTACAATATAGGAATAATACTGCATGTGCTTTTAACTCTTTTAACTTCTTTTCATGACAAAATGGGAGAGTTTCTTCTTCGCAGTTATTTTCTGTGTTTCAAAATTAAGAAAAATATTTCATAAAATTGTATTCCAGACTTCAGACATTTTTTTCCAAATATGAAAAGTGATTGAAGGTCTCATTCAATTATGAGGGGAATCCAATTGGATCTTCAACTACTGTATACACAGTATATTAGCGAGGACCCAGGTCATCTGTAGCGCAATATGATACCCGGACCGCAGCAAAATCTCGGTAATGAGTCCTTTGATTAGCCTAACATTCAATAAGTTGTGCTTGTTGAAGGATTCTGGAGATGACAATATTTTCGTTTTTTCGCACATTAAATCTGTATTTTTATTAAGTGAAATAGTCATCTATAGATATTCTAGATATCTAGAACATGATGACGTCGTGAGAAGCAATGCATAGCATTAAAGCAAGCGATACCTGCTTTTGATTTTCAAATACACATGTACACTGATGTAAGAAAAGAAACTAGATGTCGCTTGAGTAACCGTGCAACTTTGAGGCCCGAAAGCTGAATCGATGGGATGCAGGCATACGCCGAGCTCTCCATGAACTCACGCAAAGATCCTTGAAAGGGTTTACGATGATTTCATTGCTTCCAATGGTCAGCTTATGCATGAAATTATGAGAGGTGAAAAAGTACATGGGGTTATCTTAATTTTCGTTTCTGATGCTTCGAATGGGTGTATGGTCGCTAAGAGGAATGCGACTTAATTCCGTTTGTGATAACGCCCAGATACACGTATTCAGGAAGAACAGAAACAAGGTAAAATATTGTAATCAACAGAAATTGTTGAGTGAGCTAATGTCTCGCTTCATTTTTGAAGTCTGGCTATGTAAATCGAAAGACCCAGCATACGTCTTTATACTTTTCAAGAGACAATACAAATGACTCTGTCGAGTAAATATTTCAAGGAAAATCAAGCAGAAGGCATTAATTCTTTTGTGAATACACTCCTGAAATAATGTGGAAATGAACATGTTCGTGGGTTAAAAACTGGAGCGCATTAAAAACTGCGTAACCAGCGAGCAAATTAACATATTATACGAGTACAGTACATAAAACTTGGATTATTCAATTCCCTCTGCGAGATTAATTGGGCATTAAACATTTCATTTGACGATGATACAATTCATAGCATCTGATAAAATTGTATCCATTTCGAGGTCTTAACTTTGTTGATTATATAGTTACATACATTGTAAGATGCAAGGCGACCGGAGGACAGTAAAATGGCTCTAGATAAAAATAGCCCGTTTCCTTCCATCAAAATATTGCACTTCATATGAACAGTTGAGCAAATGTGTACTGTTACTCGAAGCACGCATGATCTGAGTCCTAGCGCTGTTGTGGCACCCGTCAAAAACGCTTCATGACGCAAATAAACGAATAAAAATGCATGGGCGGATGAATCCCTTAAACGAATATGCCTCTTCCTCAACTCGAACTATGGTCTATAGATTAAAGGAATTCCACCCGGTTTCCCGATGAGGTTTAAAAGATGCATCCACGCAGATTTCGAGGACCACTTGGGAAGGAATGTTAAAGACGGGCTGGCTCAGAATTGGGGCAGGCAGCCGTGCGTGAGCGCATTTGGTTGCGCTCCGCGAAGATAGAGATGTACACAAATGTGTAATGAGGTGCGGTCTCTTGTGAACCGTCAAACTTAACAATTCTCTTCGAGGGAACGCGGCGAACAAAATCCTGGTGGTGCACGAGGTTAAAGAGGCTTCTCATATTTATCTGTCGGCAGTGATCCCACAATTTCCGCAAGTAGTGATTACGGTCAATCCATCTTTCCCCCAATAAAAACTGAGGTTTGCGCGCCGCAACTCATCGCCCGCTCGTTGCGCGGCACACTTGCATAACGGCCGAACAAAACGATCGAAACCCGTCGATCTCAGGCGCCTTTATTCCCACCTTAATGATTTGGACCACGTAAGCCTCCCACTTCTGAATGATTTAAGCCTGGAATTAATTCCACGTTGACAAATACTCGCGTAGGAAGGTGAGGGATAGCTTAAATCTCGTCTGCTCATACACTCGTTTGCTCACCCGCGGGCGCCGAATAGCTGCGTGATGCTGGAAGGAATGGAGATGAGCTGTTCGCGGGATGAATGAGGAAATCGCATGCCAGGCTATGAATGAGACACAAATAGTGGTGATGGACTAGCGTCGAGGTAATTGATGCGCCAGTTACTCTAATTCCTGGCTTTGTTGCGGTTCGGGGGACAATGCATTTCGTCCAAGAATATGCACCGACCTTCACCCATCAGGACGGGCTTTCAATCCATGCTGGCCCTCGGCATTGAAGTACTGTACTGTATTCCCCGACCATGACTCATCATTTAGCAATTACCGTTCTCCAGTTATTCTTGGCATGTTTATTTTTTCAAAGCGTATATGGTCAGATTCTAAAGATAAAATCAGCGAGCTCTCATCAGAGAAAATGGGAAGTTTGACTGGAAAAATGTCTTCCTCGGTTTTTAAGCATTTCGACCGCATTACCATTGCCACTAGAAGTTACTTGAATATTTACTATATAAACCGCGTAAATCCGATTAATGTAATTTACCATTATTATAATGATACAATTTTAAGCGGTACCCTGGTTTTAATCGGGGATTTTAGACGAAACCCAGAAGATGCCGCGGAAAAATGGAGACGTTGCAAGAAAAATGGCACGTAAGCCCTCTCCAAATCTTATACTTTTTCAAACATGCCGATGTTGTAGCACAATTTTTATCAATATCCAGTCAAGGATACACGAATTCAACTTTAATGTGCAGGCCTAGGCTAAAATTAGAATATTTTGATCATGACAACCGAGAATGAGTGCAGACATGACATTCATTGAACCTGTTCAATATTACGCGATATCAATTATGTCAAATATATTATGTCATATCAGCCGATTTTTTGAGCGCGTTTCCAGCTAAAGAAGCAGGTCCTAAAATAAGTTCAATTCTTGGATTCGATAAAAAATTTTCCGTTGCAATAAATTTTGTAAACAAATCATGATACTGTACCATCATCACGCTGCTTATTAAAATTTCGTTTAA